GATTCCTCCTATCATTGAAAAGTTGGTAATATGTTAACATAGAAAATAAAAAATTAATGATGTTTCATTTTGACATGAAGCCTTCTCTATTTTAAATTGACCAGTGTCCTTTTAGCTATATTACTGGTAAGTTCAGAAATTTAGTGGCATAGATATTATTGCCCACAAGTCATTCTAATTGCTGTCATAAGTTATTGACTCACTAGTACTGAACTAAGAACTCACATATTTAAGGCCAGGCATGGTGGCTCAGCCATGTAATGCCAGCACTTTAGGAGGCTGAGTTGAGAGGACTACCAGAGCTCATGGGTTCAAGAATAGCCTGGGCTACCTGGCAAGACCCCATCTCTACACTAAATCAAAAAATTACCTGGGAGTGGTAACACACACCTGTAGTTCTGGTTACTTGATAGGCTGAGGTGATAGCATTGGGGTGGCCATGAGCTTTCCACTGCACTCCAACCTGGATTACAGAGTGAGACTCCAACTTAGAATAAAAATAAACCCATAAATTGAAAATTCTATCTAAATGTTCTAAAGATTTTATTGGGAAATTGTATTTTGGGGTTAGTTTTCTAGTATCTTGTATAATGTGTTCTCTACTTTTCAAATGCTAGGTTTAAAATCTAAGAACCACAGCAAGAGATATGTTACTTTTTTCTAATTAAACAGGACTTGCTGTCTCTAAACCAGATCTTATTACATGTCTGGAGCAAAGGAAAGAGCCCTGGGATGTGAGGAGACATGGCACATTAGCCAAACTTCCAGGTAAGTGGGAGTGAATGAAGCAGATGACACAGGTTGAGGAATCAGAGTTTGAAAAGTGGTTTGGGAAGGTGGTCTGCTCCAATGGAAATGGTTTCTTAGAAACCTGGGATTCTTTCTCTTCCTGTCACAAAGCGACATCCATTATTCCATGTTCAGAAATTCTCCAAAAACTCTCCTTCTTCAATGATCTTTCAGGTTTACAGAGGAAATCGAAGTCCACTTAATGGTATGTTAGGAACTGCATGATCTGACTACCTTTCTATTTCTTTGGAGACGTGCAAGTATTTGCTTACTTATTTGGAAATTCACGTCAAGCTATTTTTTTTTGTTTTGAGTTGGAGTCTCACTCTGTCGCCCAGACTGGAGTGCAGTGGCCGTTCCCGGCCACCACAGCCTCGACCTGCTGGGCTCCGGCGATCCTTCCCCCTCAGCCTTCTGAATAGCCAGAATTACAGGCATGGGCTACAACGCCCGCCTGATTTTTTTGATTTATTGTAGAGATGAGGTCTCACTGCCCAGCTGGGTCTCGAACCCACGAGCTCAGGCAATTCACTCACCTCAGCCTCCCAAAGGCTCAGGATTGTCAAAGTATTTTTTTATGTTTTCTTTTTGTATCATGGTTGGATTATGTGACCAGTGATTTTGTTATCTGTTTGAGAAATTTTAAGAACACTCCAGACACATGTTACATGTTTTCTACTTTATGATTTTCTATACTAGGGAGATTTTCAATAATTTTATTTAAAATCATACTCAATAGTCCTACCTAAATACAAATTATCTCTCAATAGAAGAAATTCTGATATTTTACTTAAATTTTACTTTTTTTTTTGAGTTGTAGTCTCACTCTGTTTCCCAGACTGGAGTGCAGTGGCCGCTCCTGCCCACCGCAGCCTTGACCTGCAGGGCTCTGGCGATCCTTCTGCCTCAGACTTCCAAGTAGCCAGAATTACAGGCATGTGCTACCACACCCGGCTGATTTTTTTGTTTTATTGTAAAGATGATGTCTCGCCTGCCCAGGTGGGTCTTGAATCTGTGGGCTCAGGCAATCCATTCACCTCAGCCTTCCAAAGGTGTGGGATTACAAGCTGAGTCACCGAGCCCGGCAATTTTTACTTTTATCGTATGATCTGAAACTGGTAGTTTTTATTTATATCCAAATATTTAAGTATACTATATCATGTAGAGGATTGGTAAACATATATTAAAATCCTACATGTTACCTTGTGTCTTAATAGCTCTTATTTTATAATTTTTTTAAGTATGAAGCTTAGGCCTAGCTTCATATATGCATATATACAAACACATATGTATGCATGTTTATATGTGATTATCATCTGATTTTTTTATACATAAATAAAAATGTATAACCATAGGTCATAAATGTAATAATTTGATATGCCTATACAGTGTGAAATGATGATTACAATTATATTAATGAACACATCAACCATCTTACGCAGTTGCCATTTTTATGTTTTGTAAGTAGAACATATAATGTCTTCTATCTTAGCAAATTTTCTAAGCATACGAAACGTCATTATTAACGATAAGTCACTATGGTACACATTAGCTCCCTAAGACTCAGTTATAACTCAAATTTTGTAACCATTGAAAAACATCTCCATTTTCCCACCTGCAGGCCCTGGTGACCACGTTGTACTTTCTTCCTCTATGAGTGCAAAGTTTTTTATTCCACAGAAGTGAGATCATACAGGAATTATTTTTCCCGAGTTGGAGTGTCACTCCAGGCTGGAATGTAGTGGCATGCTAATGACCACCACAGCCTCATTGCTGCACTCAGGCAATCCTTCCACATCAGCCTTTCAAGTTACTGGAACTACAAGTGTGCGCGGCCACGCATAGCTTATTTTTGTATTTGTCATAGACTTGTCTCACCTAGGTACCCAGACTGGTCTTGAACCCCTGAGCTCAGGCAATCCTCTCACCTCAGTCTCCCAATGTGATGGGTTTACAGACTTGAGTCACTGTACCTGTTATCAGGCAGTATTTGTGTGTGTGTGCCTGGCTCACTTCAGTTAGCATAATGTCTTACAATGTCATCCATAAGGTTAAAACTGCAGAATTCTTTAAAAAATTTTTTGGCTGAATCATATGCTATTGTGCATATATATGTGTGTGTGCGTGTGCATGTGTGTGTGTGTGTGTGTGTGTGTGTGTGTGTGTGTGTGTATACGTTATTTTATTAATCAACACAGATTTCACAAATATTTAGGTTGTTTTCAAGCTTGGCCATCTTGACAAATGTTACAATGCCCATAGGGGTTGGAGACTACTTTTTGATGCTGATTTTATTTCCTTTGGTTACATGCCCCGAAAAGGAATTTCTGTATTATGTGACAATTTGTTTTTATTTTTATTTAATTTATTTAATTTTTTTTTTTGAGTTGGACTCTCACTCTGTCACCCAGACTGGAGTGGAGTGGCCACCCATAGCCACCACAGCCTTGATCTGCTGGGCTCCAGAGATCCTTCCACCTCAGTCTTCCAAGTAGCTGGAACTACAGGCACACGCTACTATGCCCGGCTAATTTTTGATTTATTGTTGAGATGAGATCTCGCCAAGTTGCCCAGGTGGGTCTCAAACCCACGGGCTCAGGCAATCCACTCACCTCAGCCTCCCAGAGGCACAGGATTACAGGCTGAGCCACTGAGGCCAGCTTGTTTTTATTTTTAAAAGAATGTTGATAATGATTTTTATATTACTCTACCAATTTTAAACTCACCAAGAGTATACAGGATTTCTTTTTCTTCACATCCTTATCAAAAGTTCTCTCTCTCTCTCTTCTGGTTGATATTGGCCATTCTAACCACTTTGAGACAATATATCATCATTGTGTTTATTTGAAATTGCATCTATTGGTGAGATTCATTTCCAATTCATATACCTGTTAGCAAGTTGTATGTCTTCATTGGAAAATAACTATTCATTTTTTGGCTGTTTTTTATTCAACTAATTTTCATTTTCTTTAACTGCTCATGCAGATGTTTTTTCTTGTCCTGTAAGCGTTCTTCCTTTTCCCTTTACTCTGCAGAAGTTTTCAGTTTGATGTCTCTAACATGTTTATATTTATTTTTATTTCTATAGTCAAAAAAATTATTACTAAGAGCAATATCAATATCAAGGATGTTTTCCAAATCCTTTTTATGGTTATGTTTTATCAGCACATTCTCTGTCACCCAGGCAGTAGTGTGGTCATTCAAGTAAGGGTTTCTACATTTCATATGAAAATTTCTCAATCTTTGTTGTAATTTGCAGCTCCACAAATTATTGTTGTACCCTTAATTGAGTCATTTATCTTGATCCTTTCTATGCTTTGGCATACTTTATTTGAATTGGGGTATTTGAAATTCAAAGATATACATGTCATAGTGTTTATGATGTTGCTTTGTCTAGATTAATATAACAACAATCACTAAGTTAGAGATTCTAGGAGACTCATACCTGTTCTTAGGGTTCTCTGTACATTGGGACAGAAACAAGTCTTTGTATAAACCCTTAAAGGACAGAAATGTGGACTCATACTCTACTATTCTGTTTATTCCCTGAGGAAGAATTCAAGAGTTATAACATACCATCTGATTGCTTCATGCTGCATTGTAAAGGAAGAGAAATTACGGTAGCAAAATTACTAAACTTTCTCTTCCAAGTAACTCATTTTATCATGTGTATTATGTAATGTCTTAGCTGTTTTTTGAGTTTTCACACAGGCAATGGGGTAAGTATTTTCTAAAGTACATATATTTATGATGGATTGGAAACCTGTAATTTCTACTTTCCATCATACTTATGTCCTTACCATGGTATAATATTATGTTTTATTTTCAAAGGATATTCACCTAAGTCTAGCATATGGAATAAATTTTTATTTTCCTGATTTTCAGCTGTGACTTCTCATTACACTGAAGGCCTTTTGCCAGAGAAGAGCATAGAAGACTCCCTTGCAAATGAGCCAGTGGGGAAATATGGTAAATATGTCCTTAAGAACATATGCTTACAAAAATATTGTGTAAGTGTGCATGAGGGAGAAGGGCAGATAGAATGTTCAGTTGCAAATAACCATTACAAATGTAACAAGAGTAGGAAAGTCTTTTTTTTTTTTTTTGAGTTGGAGTCTCAGTCTATCACCCAGACTGGAGTGCAGTGGCCGCTCCCGGCCACCGAAGCCTTGACCTACTGGACTCAGGTGATCCTTCCACCTCAGCCTTCCAAGTAGCCGGAATTACAGGCATGCACTACCACACCCAGCTGATGTTTTGATATATTGTAGAGATGAAGTTTCGCTGCCCAGGCAGGTCTCGAACCCGTGGGCTCAGGCAATCCACTCACCTCAGCCTCCCAAAGGCACAGGATTACAAGCTAAGCCACTGAGCCCAGCTTAAGAAAGTCTTTCATCAAGACTCCAAATTTGTTATCCACCAGAGGATACATATTTCTGAAATGGCTTTCAAACGAATATGGCAAAACCTTTAACTGGTCCTCAAAATGTAATCAACATCAAAAAAATAGTGGAGGAAATATACACAATATATGTGGGAAAGTGTTAAACAAATCATTCTATCTAAATAGACATGAAAGAATGCATAGGGGAGAGAAAGACTTCAAAATTGAAAAATGTGGAAAAGCCCTTAGCTATTACTCCTGTCATTCACAACATCAGAAAATTCATTGTGGAGAGAAATGATATAAATGTGAAGAATGAACTGGGCTCAGTGGCTCAGCCTGTAATACTAGTGCTTTGGGAGGCTGAGGTGAACAGATTGCCTGAGCCCATGAGTTTGAGACCCACTTGGGCAACTTGGTGAGACCTCATCTCTACAGTAAATCAAAAAAATTAGCCAGGCATGGTAGCACATGCCTGTAGTTCCAGCTACTTGGTAGGCTGAGGAACAAAGATTGCCAGAGTCCAGCAGGTTGAGGCTGTGGTGATGGGGAGTAACCACTGCCCTCCAGTCTGGGTGATGGTGTGAGACTCCAAATTAAATAAATGGATAGATGATAGATAGATAGATAGATAGATAGATAGATAGATAAATGTGAAGAATGTGGCAAAGCCTTTCAGTCTCATTCACATCTTTCTCAACATACAGTGATCCATACTGGAGAGGAACCCTACAAATGTGAAGAATGTGGGAAAGCCTTTCCCATTCATTCACTCCTTACTCGACATGCAATGATCCATACTGGAGAGAAACCCTACAAATGTGCACAATGTGGCAAAGCCTTTCATTCTCAAGGAGAATTTGCTGCACATAAGACCATTCATACTGGAAAGAAACCTTACAAATGTGAAGAATGTGGCAAAACCTTTCACTTTCCTTCACATTTTACTCGACATACGATGATACATACTGGAGAGAAACCCTACAAATGTGAAGAATGTGGCAAAGCCTTTCGCTATCAAGGAGATTTTGCTGTACATAAGACCATTCATACTGGAGAGAAACCCTATAAATGTACAGAATGTGGCAAAGCCTTTCGCTCTCGTTCACATCTTACTCGACATACAGTGATCCATACTGGAGTGAAATGTTACAAATGTGAAGAATGTGGCAAAGCCTTTCACTCTCGTTCAAAACTTACTCGACATATAATGATCCATACTGGACAGAAACCCTTTAAATGTGCAGAATGTGGCAAAGCCTTTCGCACTCGTTCACATCTTACTCAACATACGGTGATCCACACTGGAGTGAAACGCTACAAATGTGAAGAATGTGGCAAAGCCTTTCACTCTCATTCACATCCTACACAACATACAATGATCCATACTGGACAGAAACCCTATAAATGTGCAGAATGTGAAAAGGCCTTTCACTCTCATTTACTTCTTACTCAACATACAGTGATTCATACTGGAGAGAAACCCTAAATTTGTGAAGAATGTGGCAAAATCTTTCACTCTCATTCACATCTTACTCAACATACAATGATCCATACTGGAGAGAAACCCTATAAATGTACAGAATGTGGTGAAGCCTTTCAGTTTTGTTCACTCCTTACTAGACATACTATGATCCACACTGGAAAGAAACCCTACAAATATGAAGAATGTGGCAAATCCTTTCACATTCATTCAATCCTTACTCGACATACGATGATCCATACTGGAGAGAAACCCTACAAATGTGAAGAATGTGGCAAAGCCTTTTACTCTCATTCACATCTTACTCGACATACAGTTATTCATAATGGAGTGAAACCCTACAAATGTACAGAATGTGGCAAAGCCTTTCAGTTTTGTTCATACCTTACTTGGAATATGGTGATCCATAATTGAGAGAAACCCTGTAAATGTGAAGAATGTGGCAAAGACTTTCACTCTTGTTCAAACCTTTCTCAACATATTCTGATCCATAGTAGACAGAAACCATAGAAATGGGAAATATGTGACAAAGCCTTTTGCTCTCAAGGGCGATTTCCTGTACATAAGACCATCCATACTGGACACAAACCCTACAAATGTGCAGAATGTGGCAAAGCCTTTAACTCTCATTCATGTCTTACTCGACATACAGTGATCCATACTGGAGAGAAACCCTACAAATGTGAGGAATGTGGCAAGGCCTTTCAATTTGACTCTGGATTTTATCAATATAAGACCATGCATACTGGGGAGAAACCCTACAACTGTTAAGAATGTGGCAAAGCCTTACACTTTTAAGGATTGGCTGACTATAAGGCCATCCATACTGGGGAGAAACCCTAGAGATGTGAAGAATGTGGCAAAGCCTTTCGCTCTCTAGGAGGTTTTGCTGGCCATAAGACCATCCATACTGCAGTGAAACCCTCCAAATGTGCAGAATGTGTCAAAGGATTTACTCAGTACTCGAAGCTTATTGAACATAAGAATATGCATACTGGAGAAAATCCCCACATATGGGAGGAATGTAGCAAGGCCTTTCACTTTCACTCTGTATTTTCTGGACATAACACCATGTATACTGGGGAGAAATCCTACAAATGTGAAAAATGTGGCAAAGCCTTTTGCTCCCATTCAAAGTTTGCTGGATATATGAAGGTGCATAGTGGAGAGAAACCCTACAAATTTGAAGAATGTGGCAAAGCCTTTGACCCTCACTGTGGATTTGCTTTACATAAGACCATCCATTCTGGGGAAAAAACTTACAAATGTGAAGAATGTGACATAACCATTTACTCTCACAACAGATTTGCTGAACACATAATCATCCATACTGGAGAGAAAATCTACAAATGTGAAAAACATGGTAAGCCTTTTGCTCTCATATACATGTAGCAGGACATTTGAGAATCCATACTGAGATGAAACTATATAACAGAGAGGAATGAGATAAAGCCTTTAGCTCTCATTCAATATTTGGTTGACATACGAGCATCTATATTTAGGGATTCCCTATAGATGGGCAGAATGGGGTAAACCTTTTCACTGTTATTCCAAGTTTTCTCAACATCAGACAATTTATAATCTAAATTTTCAGTATCTCTAATGACTGGAAAATCATATGTCTAGTTATAAACAACAGAGACATGGTGAGAAATTACAGATGTAAAGAGTACCATTATCTTTACTCAAACTACAGATCTTTTGAATGTACAAATGTAAAATATGTCTAAAGACATTAACCAGCAAAATCTTTATTTGACATTAGACTGTCCATTGTAGAGAATCTACAAATGTAGAGAATGTGGACTGGCCTTTGTTCAAAATATATGCCATTGGAAATACTAGGGTATTTGGACTGAAAACATTACAGATGCAATTTATATGGAAGCTTATTTACTGAAAGGTAAGTTGAAATAAATATCAAATATTGAGTGGCATTAGAAGATGGGTTTTTTTGTTTGTTTTTTAGGAAGGCATAAGTATATTCTCTGTATAATTTTGGTTTTGCATTGACAGAAGATGAGGATATTTCAAAAAGCAAATAATATTAATGTAACTCAACTCACATGATGCTATGCCTTCATTAGTAGTGTTTATGTAAAGGCATGGGGTCTATTGTCGGTACGTAAGAGATATGAAATGTCCTTGTATAGTAGGTCATCAGCCCTCATCTCATGTTTTTCATGGAGAATGAAGAACACTGATCTGTAATCTCCTTTAAAAGATCCTCCTTTAAAAGTGAAGAGGTTGTTTGTGGCTCACATTAAGCATTATTGTAAGTTCAGAATGAAGTGAGTGCTTAGAATAACATTTATCTTTGGAAATAAATGACAAAGAATCATTGAGAGTTTTAAAAATCTTTTGTCTTACTACTTACATGCAAATGAGAAAATGAGACCAGAACATTACTAATTTGATGCATCTTCATACTATCAATACTTACAAGCCATAAGTGTAATTTTGATATAATATAAAGAAATATTTTCATAGACATCATAGCAAAGATAATTATTCTCTTAAAATGTATATATTATAAGTTTGTGTTTAGTAAATAATCAGATTAAGTTTTTAAAACTGAAGAAAGCTGTTCGCACATGGATCACACTATCAGAACATAAATGCTTGAATGTTTGTAACCTGGTTTGCTAGCAAGCATACAGTGAAATTTGAAGGTTTATTTAGGCTATGTAAATTTGTTTGTTTTAATGAACAGAATTGTTTATAAAGTAATAACATTTGTTGTCCACACAATAAATTGTTATGTTGCCATAAGTGTTAATCTATTCTATGTTACCCAAGATTGTATGTATATGATGACTATATACTATTGGATAAATTATAGAAGGATGTTTCTAGTGATTCTTTTTTTATAGGTCATATTTTCTTCCTTTTTTTAAGTTGTGTGTCATTTTGATTATTGTAATAATACAGGTGTACAATTATAAGACCTAACTTTCTGAATCCTGACTATTGTAAATACTTATATATTAGGTAGGATTTTGACTCTGATGTCCGGGCTGGAATACAGTGGAAAATCCATGGTCACTGCAGCCTCAACATGATGGTATCAGGCCATCTTTCTCCTTTAGCCTCCTGAGTAGCTGGTGTCACAAACATTTGCCCTCATGCCCAGCCAGCTATTGAATTCATTGTTAAGACAAGGTCTCACCAAGTTGCTCAGGCAGGTCTGGAAGCCCTAGACTAAGGCAGTCTGCTGTACTTTGCCTCCCAAAGTGCTGGAATTATAGGCATGAGTCACCATGCCCAGTCTCTTGTTTCCTTTCTAGTCATCTGGCACTGTGTTGGAAACACTAGCCCCCTCAATTCATCTGCCTCTAACTCCTGTGGTGTGGGTTCTGGGCTCTGGAATAACTTCAGTATTTATATCTTCCCTTTCCACTGTTTTGCTATAAATACAATGATTCTTTGTAATTTCTTTGATTAACTCTGGAGAGACCAAACGCTCATATGGAAACATTAACATCACATGGTGTGTGAAAAAGAATCTCACAACACTTGCATTAATCACCTGGCAGTAGGATGTGGTCCCAAAATTACTGACTGATACACTTTGTGTCATAGCTAATTTTATGCCATTATGAGTTAATACTGCATCTTTACATTTATTTACACATTTCCCACTGCTGATGGTGCCATGTATACCCTGTAAGTGCACAAATTGTTTACCTTTGTATGATAGATTTGTATATCTTTATGACAGTAAATGTCAAAATAGACAAGAATATACTTCTATTTGTTGGCCTCATGACATTTTTAAAGTATATTTCTTTTTTTGATTGATTGTAGAGATGAGATCTCACCAAGTTGCCCATGCGGGTCTCAAACCCACAGGCTCAAGCAATCCACTCACCTCAACCTCCCAAGGTGCAGGATTACAGGCTGAGCCACTGAACTTGGCCTTAAATTATATTTCTAAACTGTGGTTCTGCACGTTTCTTTTAAATGATCACAAATTGTCATAAAAGAAATACCAGTGTATTTTCTGAAAAAACGTGGACCTATGCAGGTCAAACCCACATTCTTCATGGGCTAACAGTTACAGTGAGAAAATAGATGTGAAAATAACAAGGCAGTATAATCTTGACTAGCCCTATTTGGAAAACTGCCAAGCCAACATAATTATGAATATAATAAATCAACATAAAATGTAAGATAAATATAAAATTAGATTGAGCTGATAACAGTACTATTGCATGGAAATATTGAGCACAATTTATATACTCAAAGTGTCAAAGTCCAAG